GCAAGGGTCACCATGGGTCGGATTAGGAACTTAATTATACATTCAAGAAGTGGAATTTTCGTAGTGTCTTTTTTTGCATGTAAACACAGTCGTTATGTAAATTTGTTGCTTATTTATCTCCAAATCCGTATATTTTTGCATATACAACTGATAAAACAAGGCTAGGTATGTCAGTGTAACTTATTCAAGATCGTAAGAAATGGTGTCCATTGAATGGGGAGCAAGTTTGTATTTTTATGGTCAGAAATGCTGAGAAGTTCACGTTTTTAAATGCTCACGTTGTAAACTCGAGACGAATGTAGTCCAAATCAAAATATTTGCTGCAATAATTGCTGTTCCAATTGTTCGCGATGGGATTTTAACCCATTCCAAATTGGTATTGAGGACAATGCTTGACTTATTAACGAGCTCCTAGCGAGTTCATAATTTTGGACTTTTCCAATTTTGTTTATCACCACCCAAGGAAGAACTGATTATGTTCAGAGCTCGTTTGCTATGTGTTACAAGTTTATTGGTTACTATACTTGGAACAGAAGACCATGACTGACCATAAAATTGAGCTCAAATCTTTTCACAAAACCCGATATAAAACCTGAAAAGATTTCTTCCAATACGATGGGCCATTAGGAAATTAAAATGGGCGTGATAATCTCAACTACTAATAACTTTCTAAACTTTGTAATAAAATGTGACATATTAATTGAAGGTTTGATTGCGCCGTAACTTATTAATTGATTCTTTCGTAACCGTTTTCAGTAGTAATCTAAATTAACAGGGTGCAGTATTTTTGTTGTTGTTTCAAGTCGATATTGACAAACAAGTATCATAATTAATTAACCGTTACCGAATGCGATTTGCGGTTAAAATTGAATAACCTACACTTTTGTTATGTCGTAACGGAATGAATCGTATCATTACATGGTCTTGCATCGGCGACTCGACTTTTCTTGTAGCACGAGATCGCTGCCCGTGGCGAGTTTCATTAATCACCGGACTTGATCAATTTTTCTGTTTACGTGATAGCTATAATTATTATACATTGCGTGTATGAATTTTGTGAATTTTGGATGCATTCATCGGCATTTTATTTACTTCCCATTTAATCTTATACAATGACCAGGGCAGAAGATTTCTTTACTTTCTCAGCGGACTTAATTAGTCCAAGTGTGTTCTTCCACAATGCAAGCAGTGAAACCAGCAAGTCCCTTAATCTTTATAGTTGTCAGACAGATACAAATTTCTACTTTGTACAAAAATTTCAAAAACGTCAATTAGATACTTGAACTTTACTTTGTTTCTTGGATGATTTTAGAATGTGTATATCGATAAGTAGGTATAGCGTAATTTCCCTGAAAATGATATGAAACAAGTATAAATTGTGCACAACTCTTATGCAGATAAAGCGCCTTTTTTTAACCGAAATAGCTTTTGTTTTGACATCACCAATGGATATATTTTTTGAAGACGTCTCAATCGCCCTTTGTGAGTAGATACTCTCAGGGGCGGACTGGCACGGGGGGGCGGGTGGCGATTGCCACCTAGCCTGTAGATCATAATGGCCCGTTGGAAATTTATAAGTGTGTGCTGTATTTAGTTTCTTGCACTATTAATAAATTATTAACACGTTTCTCTAATTGGGGTTGATGTTAGGTTGTTAAAAAATTCTGTTTTAATTGAAGTGTTTTACAATGAATTTATCATTTTTTGTCGTAGTATTTTGAAAGTGCTGAAATACACTGATAGGCGACGCACCTCGTGTGGATTGTATAAAATGTTTTTGTGGTGCACCTCAGAGCTAACCCCCCCGCCACCTTCATTACTACACTAATACTTTAATGGCCCGTAAGTACCCAGTCCGCCCCTGTGTATAACCTTCTTTTTTTACCAAAATTCAACTACACCAAAATTTCTCGGGAAGACACTTTTTCTTATTAATTTGGGTTGGGTGCGTAGAATCCAAATCAATTCGTACTTTTTCGATCAGACTTCTCAATCAAAAGTTATAGACTTGAAACCAATTTCGAAAGAAAATTCAAATGGCTGTAACTTTTGAACTAGTTGCCCAATCTTGGAACTGTTTGAAATTATGGATTCTACAGGCCACATTCTATAAGAAAATTTTTTTTCCGGGTCGATCTGAGACAATTTTTATTTCGGGGTTCAAAAAAAGGCAGTGTATAACCTTCCTTTTTTACCAAAAATCGACTGCACCAAAATTTCTCGGGAAAACACTTTTTTTTATTAATTTTGGTGCGTAGAATCCAAAACAATTCGTACTTTTTCGATCAGACTTCTCAATCAAAAGTTATAGACTAGAAACCAATTTCGAAAAAAATTCAAAAGGCTGTAACTTTTGAACTAGTAGCCCAATCTTGAAACTGTTTGAAATTATGGATTCTACAGGCCACATTCTGCCTTTTTTTGAGCCCCGAAAAAAAAATTGTCTCAGATCGCCCCGGAAAAAAAATGTCCTTTTTTACCATAAATCGACTGCACCAAAATTTCTCGGGAAAACACTTTTTCTTATTAATTTTGGTGCGTAGAATCCAAAACAATTCGTACTTTTTCGATCAGACTTCTCAATTTTATAAGTAAGCATGAAAGTGCTGAAATACAATGATAGGCGACGCACCTCGTGTGGATTGTATATTTTGTTACTTTTAATTACCAGCTGCAATTTGAAAAAGAACTGTATGGTAATGTATTTTCGAGAAAGGAGTACTTTAAAATGGTTTTGTGGTGCACCTCAGAGCTCCCCCCCCCCCCCCCGCGCCACCTTCATTACTACAGTAATACTTTAATGACCCGTAACCTATGCAATTCCACCTGGCCCGCAGTTACCGAGTCCGCCCCTGAGTACCCTCTTCCGACAATCCGTTCTATCATTAGATTCCTCGGTTTAAATCCTGCGAAATTGACACCCAGGTCTAGTCTATAGGTTATATTTAGCGTTTTCACAAATTTTACAATAAATCACACCCACCCTCTCTAAAATCTAGCCACACGGAAAATGTCAAGTGTTTTTCGGATCAAGTCGTCTAAAGTAAACGCTTCTAAGGTACCAAGTGGCACCTTGGTATCACAAAATGCAGTACTAAAAACGTTGCCACATGCTATCGGAAGAGTTCCACCATCAAGGCCGTTAATGAAGCCCCAAAAAATATTGGCAGAATTGATTCCGGTATATATTGCCTTCCAGAACAAATTTGGCATGGATTTTTAGTAAAGTTGGTTGGAGTGGAATTAGAAACCGTTATTAAATCTGAAAAATGTCTCGATCTTAGTGCATTAAATCCTCCAGAAGAGCTCATGTCTTTCTTTATAGTTTCATAGGATGTTCAACAAGAACGTCGTTAAGAACAAGAACAGAAGGATAATTTGACTCACTATGCATTGATGGGTGTTTCGCGTCGGGGTCATATTTACTCTAAGAGCAGTACTAACCTCATCTTCAGAAAGCCTGACAGTTTGCAAAACTTATTTTCCTGCTCAGGAGTAATTCCACAGACACCTTTTTTTTATCTTCTGAAACTACTTTAGAAACAACTACTTTCGTCTTTAAAAAGGGTGAAGAAAATGTCATTTTCCTCTCTAGTGCGGAAAGGAAGAAACAATTGCTGCCTTAATCTTAATAATGACGTTTAAAATTGAAACATACCCGTATCTAGATTCTAGACTGCTATGTCTGAAACTGCATTAATTTTTCAATTGTGATTGCAGTTTAAAAAAAAATACGTGTAAAACTTGAGAAGAGAGTGTTTATTAACTTTCGTTCAATTGAACTCAAATTGAAAAACTCCACTTTCTTCTCTAGTTGTACAAATAACTATTCTTGATATGACATTTTTTACCAGATTTGACAGCTCCACACCTACCGAAGCCCTGGCACTTTTCCGCACAATTCTCAAGATTTTGAAATGTTGTTTAGCTTTTAGTAATATTTACTTCAAATAAACCACTTGTGCATTATCTTCATTATCTTTATTTAAATCCAAAAAGCTTCTATTGACAACGTCAACAGTAGAAATAGAATTAGGTTGAGAAGCCGCTCGTTTAGTAGTTGATATATGCTTTTTGGTGTAATTAGTAACTTATAGCCACAAATTGAGCACGAATCAAACCTTGTGACTGACATTACCATCACAGATTACTACAATTAAATAATAATCCCAACCCAAAATCCCATTATCATAGACTAGTGTTCAATATTCGCCTCTGCTCATTTTCTGGTTTTGTCTACTTTCTTTTCAGGTTTATGTTTCCGGATAACCGCCTTATCTATATTATTAATCATCGAAATAAAATCCATAATTTATTGGTGCACATCTTGATAGACAAGGACAGGTAAATAATCTGCTGTTTAATGACGCAGCCATGCAGAGCGGACAGATGGACAGATAAGATGACCACATTATACACGTACCTACCATGCTTTTCCATTGTTTCTAGAAATGGATTTCATAGTTGTTATTATGTAAATTATAATACGGAATTACAACGCGTTTAGTAAATTAAACGATCAGGGATATAATTCTTCATTTTTTATTTATACAGGGTGTCTTTCGATTGAGCACGCGACTTCTATTGTAAGAACTTGTTTTTAATGCCGCCTTTCGCTGGTATTAAACTCAAACTATTTTTCGCTCACGCGCAACTGACTTTTAAGGTCATTATCTTATTTAAATAAATTATTAAAAGCCACAAATCGGTCTATTAACCATACCCGTTTAAAAACGTAAGAGAATTTCACTTCCACAACGTAACTCCCTATAGGTACGAAAGCCCCCCAAGTGCATTTCCGTTAATTTGAAAAGAAAGAAGAGCAAGAAGCCAAATTGAAACCGTAGTATCCGTTTACTTCAAGAAGAAATTACGTAATTGCCTAATGCGATTATTACGTTCTCGGAGTTTTGCTAATGACAATAGTTTTTCGCGACTAATTTAAATATAATATACAACCCGCGAATAATGAGCGTAAACAATTGAGGAAAAAAACTCACCCTTACAAAGGTCTTCTTTGGAAGATCATCGTAGCTGTCGATAAATAAATCCTTGTTTTCACAATCACTCATTTTGAAAAAAAACGGCGCCACTATGTCCCTTTTTGAATTCAGTCGTATTTGCACGCGCGTTCCCGAATTTAGGGTAGGTAGGTACTTGCGGAAACGGACGGCGACTGAAAAAAACAATGAGTTTACCTGTCCTAAACGCCCCCACCTGTATTGTACAACTGCACGACACGACCTACCTGTGCGTACCTGCCTTGTGATTGAATGAACAAGGTGACTGAGCTGCGCACTATCTAAATATGTTCTATTATCTCTCGACAAAATAACTCACATGGAAATAATGCACGTAGCAATAACGTGCGATATTCAAATTTTGGGGACGCTTCGGCGTTGCCATGCCAACTTCCTTATAAATTTGAGGAAACGTGCGCCATTCAATTAATGCGTACGGGCCAATTAATTAACATAATACAATAACGAAATATGCAAGGTCGCCGTATACATTAGGTGTTGTTTATAAATGTTTTAGTCAAGACCATGCCACTGATTCTGATCTACATAGAAAATGCATAAATGCGCTCTGACATTTTTTGAAAAAGTATCTATGTTCTGTCCAAAAATGATCATTAGACAGAAATATCGCATTGGAAATGATCTATCAAATAAGTTTAACTGAAACATGAGAAACCCTTAGGATTTCTAGAACAGAATCTTTATTTTGTAAAATAAGCCTACTTTTTTTAAAAAATGGATTAATGGAAAATAATGTTCATCAGTAATTTACATTTCTGGGCCTTTCTCTAACGATAATTGTTATTCAAGCTGCGTAAATAAGTTTTTCGAGCAATCACAGAAAGTATTGTAAAACCGTTCAAACTTTGTTTCATTAGTGTTTACTTTTAAAAGTAAATTTCTGGGGGGGTATGGCCCCTAGACCGCTCTGTATACCGTTTTCTCAAAAAACTCTATGTTGTCATGATTGTTTTTCAGGAAGAGGGAAAAGCCACGAATTTCTTTTTTTGGGGATTTTACTGACCTAACTT